TGTCTTAGAACTCTGGAGCCTATCTAAAGACTTTCAGCTTCCAGAGGAAGGCTTGGAAAGTTTCAGTTCATTTTGGTCAATTTAAGCTCTTAACACAGTAGCAGCTACCCATCCTCCACCAACCACCCCCCCCCCACACACCCCTGGCCTCTTGGTAGCAGCCTTGAACATATTCCTGGAGTAGCTTACCCACAGCTGCGGGAGCCAAGGTGGGCAAGAAGGGCCTTGTCCTGCAAATACTGGGGAATCTGTGTCCTGATGCTTATTGCTGTTTTTGATCACAGAGGTGCAGATACGGAGGCAGGCCATCATTACTGCGATCTGTGCTGGCTGAAGAGGATTCCAGGGGATTTAAAGAGCCAGAGCCTGTTACTTTCCCCCCTTCATTCTTCCCTTTTTTCTCTTTTGGGAGCCAGACATTTAAGGATTAGGATCTTCAAAAGCAACCACGTATACAAAGGAATTTAAAGTTACTGCACATGCCCAGAGAAAGGTGTAGGCTCAGAGAAGACCCAAAAGGGCCTTAAATTCATACCTCAGTCTGATCCGGGCACAGAGGCACCCTACAACAATTTAAAAAAACAAACAAAACAGAAACCCCTGCAGAAATCTGATTTCTAGGGTTACTACATTACAAGATTCAAACGTCCCATTTTCAACAACAACAACAGATCACAAGACCTACAAAGAAATAGGAAGGAAAAGACTGTTAAGGGGTGGAGGAAATTAATCAGAGAAGCCATGCCTAAGAAAGATGAGATGATGAACTGATTAGGCAAAGACTTCAAAACAACTATCTCAAAGATGTTCAGAGAGCTAAAGTTAAAGGTGGATAGTCAAGAAAACTATGTATGAACAAAATAGAAATATCAATAAAGAGATAAAGAACATAAAAAGGAACCCAAAAGAAATTTTTAGAGCAGAAAAATACAATACTGAAATGAGAAATCCACTAGAAGTTTCCAAAAGCAGACTTGAGCAGACAGAAAAATCAGTGAACTTGAAGACAGGACAATTGAAGTGATTGATTCTGAGCAATAGGGGGGGAAATGAAGAAAAATGAATAGAACCCAAGGGATGTGTGGGACACCATTAAGCAGACCAACATACATGTTGTGAGAGTCCCAGAAAGAGAACAGAGAGAAGGGGCAGTGGGGTTATTTGAAGAGATAATGGCTGAAAACTTCCCAAAGTTGATAAAAGACATGAATATAAACATACAAGAAGGTCAACAAATTCCAAGTAGGATAAATTCAAAGAGACCCACACTGGGAAACACATTATAATCAAACTGTTGAAAGACAGAGAGAATCTTGAAAACAGAAAGAGAAAAGTGACTTGTCACATACAAGGAATCCTCAATAATATTATCAGCAGATTTCTTATCAGAAACCTTGGGGGCCAGAAGGCAGTGGGTTAATCAGAGTGTCAAAAGTAAAAAATTGTCAACCAAGAACCCTACATGCAGCAAAACTGTACTTCAAAAATGAGGGAGAAATTAAGACATTCTCAGATAGCATCATCCTCAATGATGAAAGACTGAAGGCTTTTCCACTAAGATCAAAGGATGCCCACAACACAAGGATGCCCACCTCTGCCACTGCTATTCCACAAAGTACAAGAAGTTCTAGCCAGCACAAAGAAAAATAAAGCCACTCAAATCGGAAAGGTGGAAGTAAAATTAGTTCTTATATGTAGAAAACCCTAAACACGCAGATTGTCACACACACACACACACACACACATGCTTATTGGACTAATTAACATTCATTTAGCAAAACAACAGGATACAAAATCAACACCAAAAAAAAACCAATTGTGTTTCTACACACTAACAATGAACAGTCAAAAAAGGAAATTAAGATGGGGCTCCTGGGTGGCACAGTCCGTTAAGCATCTTTCTTCAGCTCAGGTCATGATCCCAGGGTCCTGGGATCGAGCCCCACATCGGGCTCCCTGCTCCGCGGGAAGCCTGCTTCTCCCTCTCC